GCGAAATTCCAGTTTTATAGCCCTAAAATGCCAAAAAATGAGGAACGGCCTTGGCGAGGAGATGACTATTGTTTCTTAAGTCGTTTTTGATGATTTGGCAAAATTTTAGCTTGTCTGGTCACCCAGACCCATGCAGATGGCAAGGGCTATAGCTCAAGAAATCTAGGAATCATGCGGAATTCTACTTTTATGTCCCTAAATTACAAAAGAACTAAGAAACAGTCATGTTAAAGCTATGACTATAGTTCCTTAGATCATTTTTTATGAGCTTAAAAACTTTTAGACGATCCGAGTCTGGTCGCCCGGATGCATGCGGATAGCATGGGCTATAGCATACGAAAATCTGGGAATCGTGCGAAATTCCTATTTTATGACCCTAAAATGCCAAAAAATATGGAAAAGTCATGGAGAAGCAATAACTATTGTTCCTTAGGTCATTTTTTATGGCCGACAAAATTTAGGCAATTCGGATCCGATCGTCCGGACCCATACAGATGGCATGAGCTATAGCACATGAAAATTTGAGAAACTGACAGAATTTCAATTTCTTGTCCCTAAGACGCAAAAAAATGAGGAACAGTCATTGCGAGGCGATGACTATTTTTCCTCAGATCGTTTTTGAGGGCCGGCAAAATTTTAAGCGATCCGAGTCCGGTCTCCCGATCCCATGCAGATGGCGTGGGCTATAGCACACGAAAATATGGGAATCGGGCAAAATTCTAGTTTTATGGCCCTAAAATTCCAAACAATAAGGAACGGTCTTGGAGAGGCGATGACTATTGTTCTTTAGGCCGTTTTCTATAGGCCGATAAATTTTTATACGATCCGAGTCTGGTCTCCCTGACTCATGCAGATGGCGTGGCTATAGCACACGAAAATCTGAAAATCGGGTAAAATTCTATTTTTATGGTCCTAAAACGCTAAATAATGAGGAACGGTCTAGGCGAGATGATGACTAATGTTGCTTAGGTAGTTTTTGATGGGCTGGATAAATTTAGGCAATCCAGGTCTGGTCGTCCGAACCCATGTAGATGGCGTGGGCTATAACACACAAAAATTTAAAAATCGGGCGGAATTCATATTTTATGGCCCTAAAACGCCAAAAAAGAGGAACGGTCATGGTGAAGCAATGACTATTGTTCATTAAGTCATTTTTTATGGGTCGGAAACATTTTAGGCGATTCGGAGCCGGTCACCCGAATTCATGGATGGCGTAGACTGCACACGAAAATTTTGAAATCGTCTTGCATTCCTATTTTATGGTTCTAAAATGCCAAAAAATGAGAAACGGTCATGGCGAAGCGATAACTATTTTTTATTAGGTCATTTTTTATGGACCGGTAAAATTTTATGCGATTCCCTGCCGGTCGCTCGAATTCATGTAGATGGCGTGGACTATAGGATACAAAAAATTAAAAATCGTCCTGAATTCCTATTTTATGGCCCTAAAATACCAAAAAATAAGGAACTGTTATGGTGAAGTGATCACTATTGTTTAATAGGTTATTTTTTATGGGCTTGCAATATTTTATGCGATTCAAAGCCGGTCGCCTGAATTCATGTAGTGTGCTAATGTTCATGTCATCTTCATGAATTTGGATGACCAGTCCCGAATCGCCTAAAATTTTGTGTCCCCATCATAAATGACCTAATAAATAATAGTCATTGCTGCTCCATGATCGTTCCTTATTTTTGGTATTTTAGGGCCGTAAAATAAGAATTTCGCATGATTTTTAATTTTTCGTGTGCTAATGTCCACGCCATCTTCATGAATTTGGGCGACCGGCCTCGAATAGCCTAAAATTTTATGGGCCCATCAGAAATGACCTATTGAATCATAGTAATTGTTTCTCCATGACCGTTCCTCTTTTTTGGCGTTTTAGGGCCATAAAAACGGAATTCTACACAAGTTTTGATTTTTCTTGTGTTAATGTCCAGGTCATTTTATGAATTCGGGCGACTGGCCCCGTATCGCCTAAAATATTTTTGGCCCATCAAAAATAACCTAATGAACAATAGTCATTCGTTAGAGCGCATCAAGGCTTGCTAGTTTGATGACCCTCACTTGTTGGTGTTGAAAGACACGGTACAGTGGGGTAGTTCTAAGAGGGTTGTGATTGCAGACGATGGTGTTAGGCGACTTCAGGGTCGGATTTGTGTTTTGAATGTTTATGGGATGAGAGAGTGATCCTTAAGGAGGCTCCTAGTGCACGGTATTTCACACACCCAGGTGTCACGAAAATGTATCGTGATTCATGTGTATTAGTACAAGGTGATATTGTAGGATTTTTTTAACGGACTCCGATTGGTCTGAAATTCCGTAGGTTCTTAGGAAACAGCCTAGTGAACAATACTCATTATTTCGCAATGATTTTGTAGAATTTCTTGGACGGATTCTGATTGGCCTAAAATTTCGTAGTTCTATAGAAAACGGCCTATTGACAAATACTCATTTTTTGCCATGACTTTCAGTTTTATTTTATGGCGTTTCATGGTCATGCAACACAAATCTATGATTATATCTATTTTTTCGTGTATATTACTACATTAAAAAAAATTGTCGAACTCTAATTGGTCTAAAATTGTGTAGGTGTATAGGAAACGGCTTAGTGACCAATACTCATTGCTTCGCCATGACATCCAGGTTCATTTTATGGTATTTCTGGGTCATGCAATATGAATTTATGATTATATCTACTTTTTCGTATATATTAGTACATGATGATTTTGTAGAATTTCTTTGACGGATTCCAATTGACCAGAAATTTCGTAGGTCCACAGGAAACAGCCTAGTGACAAATACCCATTATTTCGCCATAACTTTCTGGTTTATTTTATGGCATTTCGGGGTCGTGCAACACGAATTTATGATTATAATTCTAATTTTTCGTGTGTATTTGTACATGCTGATTTTGTAGAATATTTTTAACGAACTTCGATTGACCTAAAATTTTGTAAATCAATAGGAAACGGCCTAGTAACCTATACTTATTGCTTCGCCATGACTTTTGATTTTATTTTTTAGTATTTTGAGGTTATGCAACACGAATTTATAATAATATGTATTTTTTCTTGTATTTTTTATCCCTAAAGCAGGGTGGGCTGATATTGCAATTTAAATTACAGAGATTCATGGAGAAAGTTTGTCCACAACTAAATACAGATTTAGGATTTTAACTTGATGCTTTCAAATTTAAGGTTCATATCTATATTGCACATCAAAAGTACTAGATTCGGATGAACTCAGTGGTAAATCACTGGATCCGTCCCTGTCAACAATATTAACATTTAGATGAAACTGGAAAGAATATTAGATGTTGAGTATAACACCATTTATTATTTTTGCTTTCTATCTATCTACTGGTACTTGTGATGTTGTTATTATTTCTATGATTTTTGTTGATGGTACTGATAAATTATCTCTTTTTGTCTTCTTGAAAAGTCGAGAGTCTATCGGAAACAGCTTCTCTACACCCTTGGGTAGAGGTAAGGTCCGCGTATACACTACCCTCCCCAAATCCCACTTGTGGGATTTTACTGGGTCGTCGTCGTTGTTATTGTTGAATATAACACCATTTAACCTTCAACTGTGGTCAATAGTAAGTCAATCGTCATGAGGATAAGAATGTCTTTCACAGCTGACAATGCTTCATCCATGTCTTCTTCACATACAACGAATATTGTTTTAGATTCGTCTTTCACTTGATCTAGCCTACGTATAACCTGAGAATTTGATAAGAAATGAACATCAAATAATGCAGGGGGAAAAAATAACATACTCCATTTCGTTATTTTCAATTATCTTCATCTTAGAGAAATACACAACTTCAAGTAGAGAAAGAACTATCTTTCTAGAGAAATGCGGAGGCTAAGATCAATGGTAAGTTCTAGTAAGTTTCAGAAATGCGGAGGCTAAGATGGATGTGCGGTCATACAATATTAGATAAGATTAAAAATGACCATATTCTTCAAAAGATGCAAGTAGCACACGTTAAGGATAAAATAAGAGGAAATTATGCTTAAGATGGTTTGGTCATGTTCTACGTCGACCTACATATGCACCGGTCCGTACGTGTGAAACTATGGTGAGTAAAGGATAAAAGAGGACGAGGTAGACCTAAAATCACATGTAAATGAGTTGTCTCGCAACACCTATAATTTCTTGGAATCAACACTGACTTAGTTGAATATAGGATACAATTAAAAAAAGAGTCCATATAGGTGATATCTACAAGTTGAGAATAGATTTTAGTCTTGTTAAAGAACTTCTATTACTATTATTATTATTATTATTATTATATGAGTTGAGCTAAACTGAAGAAGTTGGGATTCATATAACGGATCCTAATTTATTTTGGGATTGAAGCGTAATTACTATTGTTGTTGTTATTATTATTTTTTCTACTAATAGGAAGCTAAATCAATTAATTTTTTGCATCAATATATTTCAACTGAAATTATATTTTAATAATTCTCTTAACCTTTTTCTCTAATTGATTCGCTTTACTTTTCTATTTTACAACAAAATGCCGAGTTTAAGAGAACACAACTGTAAAGCATGGCCATTGAGCAAAAAGTAAAAGGATAGAATCTGCCTTTGTTAGTGTGTTAAGTTGAGAATAAAGGCACTCTTAATGCTAAGGCTGGTCTTGTTTGACGATACCAAAATATATACAGCACTCTTCCAAAAAATACCAGTCTTGATATCAAAGAAATCTATATATATATATGCAAGGATGCTCCAACTGATTTTATCGAATATACATACATTCTCAAATGGAAGTTCTGGCAGCTGAATCCATCAGAGGTAGAGCAGACGAAGTGGCTGAATGGTTACATTCTGTCATTGATATAGATGACCCTTCTCCTAGTACAACATCAGTTAATTCAACAGTACCGCGTGAGGAGAAGTACAAAATAAGAAGAAGAATTTCAGTTACTATGAGCCCCGTGTGGTTTCCATTGGTCCAATACACCATGGAAAACCTCATCTTAGAGCCATGGAGAAGTTAAAACCGACAGCAGCAAAAAGACTACTTAAAGACAAGTTATCCATTGAGCAAGCGTACTCAAGTGTTGAACAGGACTTGGTAAGAGCTAGGAATTGTTACTCTCCTAGTCATTTCGAACGTTATGCTAACGACCGTGACTGGTGTCTGATGTTGTTCCTTGACGGCTGCTTTATTATTGAATTCATCTACAGTCCGACCAGGCTGAATATGAAGAAACATGATAGAGATTTGGTGTGTCGTGACCTTTTATTGTTCGAAAATCAATTGCCTTTCCAGGTTCTAGATGTGTTAGCACGCGCATTTGGAATTGACGAGACTTCTTTGCGACTGGTAATTACTGACTGGTTCCTCTTTAAGCAAGGGTTAACAATATCCTCTTATACTATTTTTGATCGTGTAGTGTACGCTATCTTAATTACATCCCTCACGTTCCCCACTCCAGCTCCTGCTCATCTTCTTCAAAGTTTTAGAGGCCTATGGATTCCTTCTTATTTTATAGTAAAAAAAGAAGAAGAAGAAGATGATGAAGAAAAAAAAGAAGATCGTGCTATTTGTGAACCTTTATCAGTCACAGAGCTGAAGAAAATGGGTATTCGCTGCAGTTGTTCAAATAACCCACGATCTCTTGACTCACCAGTCATCCAGCTTAAATCATTTGTGTTATCAGGAGAGTTGTTCCTTCCTCTACTAACTATCGACGAATGGACCAAGACCCTTTTATTAAACCTAGTTGCTTTAGAATTTTTATGCAGAGAACAAGATACAACCTTAGGGGTCTGGTCTTACTTGAATCTCATGAATATGTTGATTAAAGGAGAGGAAGATGTTAAGGAGCTGCGAGCCAGGGGCATACTCCAACTCAGATCCATTAGTAGTGACCAACAAGTGGTTGACCTGTTGAGATATATAACAGCACGTGGAGCGCCTAATCATCGAGCTTACGGGCATCTCGAACGACATATTTTTACTTACTCCAAAAGTAAAATGTTCCCTCTACGACTTCTCCTTGCTGAACTTAAGCATAGGTACTTTCGTGGTCCCTGGAGTTTTCTTGTGTTTCTTGCTGTTCTCTTCACTGTCAGTATGACTGTAATTCAGACCGTCCTCACAGGAATTCAGACTTATAAATAGACCGACTGTGCATGCGCATGTTGCCCGTCTTCACTGTCATTCTTGTTTTTGTTTGTATCTTCATTAGTTGTATTATGATTGTGGTCAAATATGGAAACCCGTTGGATGAGTTTAACTCGTCCAATGGATTTGTTAGGAGGCACTAATTAGGCCTTTTGTTTGGCATCATGTTTCCAATTGTACTTTCCATATATTCATCATATCTTGATTGTGTTCTGTTTACCCGAAAAATGGATAGAGTTGAATTTATACGTAGTTCTAAAGATACGTGGTATAAATTGGCACGAATCGAAAAAGCATGTAGAAAAATATCGAATATTGACTGTAAAAAGGGAATGAAATACAAACCAAACTGAGTAGAAAACGATTTATGAACAAGCAAGATGAATCAATGTACCAGGCTCATAAAAGCATAATCTCTATATGAATCTTAATAATCTTTTCAATATGGGAGTATGTAGATGCCTTTTCTTACAGAAATGATAGTCATTCTTCTTATAGTGAAGAAAATCCTACTTTAGATATAAAAAATACATAGTGGGATCCCGTGATAGATTAGTTTAATTGATTTTTTCTTAATTCCCGTTGAGATTCTCTCCCTTAGTGCGGCTATAATGGCTCTTGTCTCTTAGCTCGATCTTGATCGGACTTGGTATTAGTCGATCTCCAGATTTAGAGATCGATATTGGCTCGAGCTCGATATTGACTCAGTCTCGGTATTGGTCGGTCTCTATCTCTTGAACTCGATAACACCACTTCACATCATAGTTCGATTTGGACCCGAGCTCGATAGTGACTTCGAGCTCGGTATTTGATCGGTCCCTGAAACTTGAGCTAGGTATCCTAGTTTCAGATCTCATCTCGATATTATGAATACAACATTCGGTCCATTACATTCCAATCTTGACTAATCATACAAAGGTCGAAACCGATTTTGACCGTATACATGTTCTTAGTACAATAGTAGAATATGGTACAACAATTCCAGTGAAGACATTCTTTAGTATGCTTACAAGTTTCTTACAATATCTATTTGATCAATAAGGGTCAATTTTTATTACTTCTAAAGCAACCAGGAAGTGTTCTGCTACTTACAAAGCAAAAATACTTTCCTTACGTGTTACCATTACTTATTAATGTCTGATTTTGCTATTGAAAATTCACCAAGAAGCAGAGGATGAGCAACATCGCTTATCTTATTTGCCAACATGAGGAAAAATGTCCATTACAACCATTTACAAATACAGACAAGATATTAGAATTTAGAAGAAATGGAAACATCTGGAGTGATTCTCCCCAACTGTTAACAAAGAGCATATAAACTATCCTAAGTTTTATTTTTCAAGTTTCCTTCCTCAGAAATATTCACATTTTTTCATATTTTATCAGATCACTTTGCTCTTTATCTGTGCATTAGAGGGACTCTGCAAATTGAGGAGCTCCTAAGTCAAGCTCTTGTTTCATTATGCAGTTCATAAACCAGTCACTGCTGAAAGTCCATATTCCCTTCTTAACTGCTGACAGTGCTTCATCCATGTCTTCTTCACATGCAACGAATATCGTTTTAGAATCGTCTTTCACTTGATGTAGTCCATGTATAACCTACGAATTTGGTAAGAAATGGCATCAAATAATGCAGGGAAAAAATGACATGCTCCATCTCCTTATTTTCAATTATTTCCATCTTGGTCGTTTTTTCTCAAGCGGAGAAAGTACAAGTTTACTCCCCTTAGTTGGCCTACCGAGTGCAAATCCAGATTAGTCGAGCCAGTAGATTTTAGATAACAGATGGTGAAAGAGGAGAGTGCAAGTTTGACATGATGTTGGAAAAATATAAACGGCATTATGGATATTCTGAAGATTGCTTGCTCATTAAGCAAATATTAACTCACATTTCCTCCTGCAGATTTTACAATGGTTGATAAGGTACCAACTGGAGGATGGACATGAGCTGCAAGACATATGTCATACCCCTTGAGCAGAGATTGGGGGTATGTTTTTGCTCTAAGAACTGCCCCTTTAAGCTCAGTTCTGTACTTCAGTTCGTAGTCTTCATCCCTCAAAATAAATGGCATTTCATCTGGAAAAATCAACAGGGAATGATCAACAAGTGTCGATAGTCCAATTAAGGTCAAACTTAACAGTTTTTACCCACCTATAAATTTGCCATTCCGGAAGCTTTCTTTCAACCAACTTGGTAACAGTATCCAAGCTCTGATCGCATTTCCACAAGACCAAAAACAAGAACACATGCAATCAAATTCTGGAGTCTAGCTACTTACAAGAATTTAGGTTACAAATACTGGAAACCAAAAATTAAAGCTGGGAAAAATTAACAAGAGATAGAAGTGAATGGCGACGTATTGTCTATATGTTTGGATAGTATCTTAACTTTTTGGCACTATAATGCATTATTTCTAGCCATGACAATCCTACATATTTTACTAAAAGCACAACAACCAAAATCATCCTATCAAAAATTTATCCTATGGATGCAGACCTAGATTTTCACATAGGTTTGGAACATTTTATGTACATTTTGCATAAAATGATCCCTAATCTCTTATTTGCACGTGCTGTGACAATTTTGCACACACTCTTAAGATGTCCATCTTGTAGAAACTGTCCTTTTCAGAAAGGAAAGCTTAAAGTAGCCTTAAGAAAGAAAATGCTCATCTCTTAACCTCAAATAAATATCAGATGTAAACTCTAGTAATTGTATTCAGGAAATAAGCAGAGAAAACAAAGGGATGGACAATAGTCAGTCCATCTTGTATTTTTAGACTTAGGGCAGTTCACCTCCACCTGAAGCGCCTAGGCTAGCAAACCAAGTAGCTATTTGATCTTGTGTTATGCTGTGTTAGAATGACAAGACTCACTCAAAAATGTAAGTTGCATATCCATCTCATCTTCTATACTTCTGAACTGGGTAACTATGGTGCACAATATACTTTTGGTATAACTATGGTGCGTAAAGTACAATATTGGTCTTTGATTTGATCGTTCCTCGTCGACTGTAGTTCACATGCCCATGGCCAGTATTGAGAGGCTTAAAACCTGGACTTACTTCTGACTACTTTGAACTAGTAGTCTAGTACCATAGCCTAATTAACACAACTCTATGCTTTTACCTTTCCTGGTTTAATTCTCCTTCAATTGATCAGTTTTGGGTTTTTCTCTCTCAATATTACTACCGATAAAGGACTACAGGACAGTGCTGTGAAAAGCGCTCGCTTCAGCGCTTTAAGCGTGAAGCGAAGCGAGGCGGCCACTGTGTTGCTTCTGTAGGGTGAAGCGTAGCAGGTAGGTTGAAGCGTCCGCTTTTGCCAAAAAAGCGAGAAGCGACGGAAGCAGCAGAGCAAGCAGCGACTAGGGTTTCAATTTTCAAGCCCAGGTTTCTTCTTCTTCAGTGCTTAAAATAGCAGCGAAATGCTGCCAAAAAATTTTTCTCCTTCAGTTCTTTTTCTCATTCTCTTCTTCTTATTATTATTTTCGTTTCAGTCCTTAAAACTGCAGTGAAATGCTGCCAAATTTTTTTTTCCTTCAGTTTTTCATCTTTTGTTCCTAGTCTCATTGCCAATTTTTTTAGAATTGGGTATGCAGTTACATGTGTAACATATGTTGTCTATACAATATTTCTTTTAATATTTTTCTTAATTCTGCTTCACTTCAAAAAAGCAAGCGCTTCGCTTCTCGCTTCACGCTTTAAGAGAAAAGGGACTTGTCGCTTTTCCTCGCTTCATACTCTTCACAACACTGCTACAGGAGAACTAGCAGAAACAGTGGACAAAAAAATAGGAAAATAACAACTCCAAATTTATGTAGTCAAGATAGATTAAAATGCCATCAGGGCTGCAGCAAGCAGCACGCGTTGAGAAACTCACCCTGAGCAGAGAGCAGAACAAAAATTCAAGGTTTTCCTCACTTTGCCTGTGACTACGTGTGTGCTTACACTTCCATCAGAAGTAACATTTCCACCAAGGTCTCCGATTATCTGCATAAGCAGCATAACTGTGCATTTAAAAGGAATAATAAATGAGAAGAATCCTCAAATAGGTGACAAAAATAGTTTACAAATTCATATTATGAAAGGGATAAGCATCAAACAATTATTAAAGAAGTATCTGGGAAAAGGGTAGGCAACTAGAGTATACCTTGGTCAAATTTGCTTTTTTATTATCATCAGCAATATTCATCAGCATAATTCTGTAGTTTGTCCCTCTTGAAGAAATGCTTGGGCTACTGTGACCTTTGTATGTCAAATTAACTGTTATAGCTTCTTCAGCATTCTTTTCCAGAGAGCGGCTTGTTAATCGGTCACTAGGATTAATATCTGTCTTACATTTTCTCTTTGAAACTGCAGAGAAACTAATCCCTACATCACTTTCTAAACTATTGTCCTTAGCATGCAAGTCACAGTCAGTTTGATGTCCTCCCTTTATTTTTTTGGATTTAACAGAAGTGTATGAGGTTTCCCAAGTCCTCTTCTTTGATCCTGATGCTGAACAAGAACATTGCTTCAGAAAAGCTTGGCTTTCGCTTTCATTGAATCCCATAGGTCCGTGCTTGCTGCTCCCAGCAGCACCTTCTCCAGGTGGAAAGTCTTGACAATCTTGAAAGAAATACAGAAATGAGAATAGTGATACACATTGAAAGATCTGTAGAAGTCGCAATATGCTCTAAACTTATTTTTTGTTTCTTACTTTCTTTTGAATTCAAAGTAACTAAAAATAATGTTGATGCAGCCAGACATTTAAGGGTCATAAGATTACAAAGTTACCTTGGAGCTAGTAATTATTTTGATGTGTGCAGGGAAGTAATTGTTGCAAGGATAAATAACTTAGCATGGAGTTAATACAAGAGGAAAAATAATGTGGTTCTGTGAATTAGCAGAAGTGGTAGTAGCTTCACTTACCATAGTAGTTAGAGCAGATGCTTTTAATTGCCTCATTTCTGTCCTGGGAATGGTCATTTCCCTCAGACACAGTTTCTCTTTGTTC